CTACTGCCGGAATGCAAACTCAGCTTCTGAATGGTTTGGCATGGCGTTTGCTGCACTCACAGTGAATGGTGTAGGTTTTTCTCCAGCCGTGCAAACATCTGAGGCACGCGTGTTGGATGATCAGAGGCTAGATTCAACACTACGGCAGTTAGTCCTCGCCATGGCGTTTTGTGGCGCTGTACCAACACCGGTGTCACCACGAAGATCCTACGGGCATCTCAGCTTCAAGAGCTAAAGTACACACCCGCTGCGAGCGACGTCTCCTTAAACCACAAGGGATCCTCAAACCTTGACCTATACTCCCATGAGGGCGAGGTTTGTGGCAATGTGGAAGTAAACAAGCACTTTTCTAAAAGTTGAGACTAAGAAGCAGCTTGCTAGTTCTTTCATCGTTTGGAGCCCCCCCCCCCCTTTCCTCCCTTTGAGTTGTTCGTTGTTGTCACGTCAAGTTCCTGCAAGCTCAACTCTATCTTTGGAAGGCTTCGTGCGATCCCTACATGTAGCCTTGAGGTTCCAGGAGGGATTCTTTGCCAAAACAGCATAGGGGTCTAGCAGGCTTCCTCCAGAGTCGAGCGATCATGCAGCCACCGATAGCCCAAGGCAATGCGCCAATCACGCGGAACGAAGAGGCCAAAGAGATCCAAGACGCAATCAACACTATCTTAGAAACCGCGCAAAAAACACATGAGCCGTCTGAGAAGATGCCCGATAGTCCCATTAATGCTCCGCGGCTCTCAAGAGACGACATGGACGAGACTGAGCTTAACAGCGAATTTGCATGGGACATTGCTACCAAACTCCACGCAAAGAATTTCGTAAGGCTGGTGTCTAGGAAGCCGCCTGTCTTGCATACCATTTACCGTCTGCTCAACAAATTGCAAATGGGTGATTGGGGCTACCGCGTCAATATTGCCGAGATGCAGCGCATGCATCTCCGAGCTCTGCAAGTCGGCCTCGTTGATAAGGCAGTCGAGATGCAAGTCCGGGGTAATGCAATGGGACCAGAAGCCATCGCAAAAGATGGCAAACTCCTAGCAAGTCTGCTTAGAGAATACAGTAAGCAATCTAGAGAAAGCGCTCCGTCCATCCCGCGTTCAGCCTTCATCAGATCAGGGGCGCGGACTTCGGTACATTACTAACAAATAGAAGCTCAAGCTGTACAAGACTATGAGTACATGACAAAAGTCTCTCAGCAACCATTCGACTTCTTCGTCGCGTCGAGTGAACGCTACCAAGATAGCTACGTTCTCGACAAGGTGATGCGAAAGAACAGGGTAGGAGCTAGAGACTTCGCCGATCCGCCGCGAATGACATACGAGTCCATGAAGCTTCATGCTCTGCCGACTGGGCCCTGGGGTAGTGAAGAGAACCCCGAGCCTCTTGGCGGGACAAGGAACGCATCGGCTAAGGCAGTGCTTCGTCGCAACTTTTGGTGGAAGATTATGGGCGCAGTGGTTGGAGGGGCTTTCCTTGTCGGCCCTATGTGGCTGCTAGTACTTCAACGAGACTTGTATCTTAACCTCGGAGTTGCTACGGCGTTTACTTTTGCTTTTGGATTTCTCATTGTCGGGTGTGTTGATCAACTGGATCAAGTCTTCGCGTCTACTCTTGCATATGCTGCGGTTTTGATGGTGTTCGTCGGAGTTATGTTTGACAAGCAGTTTCCTGAAGGAGCATGAGCAGAGATTCCGATGAATCATTGGTGGTCGAAAGATGGCATTGCTCAGAATTTCTAAAACAATCGAGAATGTCTAGTGTCAAGGCAAGATCTCCAGGGGTAACGAAACACTGAATCGTGCCCCAAAGCAAGACTCACTCGCAATGAATACACGGTAAGGTGGCCAACGGACCCCACGAAATCCGCTGGCTCAAGGCATTTGGTCGCATTTGCATATCAACGAAACGGGGATGATCAGCGATTCAAGAAACTGGGTGAGCCCCACGAAAGTGGACCGACCGAGGACTCATCCGGTTTTCACGAAGACTCCTTGGATTGTTTTTTGCCTTCATGAGCGGCTGAAATACACTGCTTCCAGATGTAATTCACTCTGAGATTCATCTTCATATGCTAGCAAAATGTGTGAAAGCTTCCTGTCCCCCCCAAGTGACCACCTTCTGGAAGACCACCACTTGAGTCGTCTCATTCGGCGTTCCCATTGAACTCAACTTTACCCCTGACTGTATCTTGTTCTACAGACAGTATGGCACACCGTGAGTCTTGTGGAGCTTGCTGCAAGCTGTGAGCCCAAGTAAGCAGTGATCTCATACTGGCGATCCCGGGACGATTGTTCACAAATTTTCTGCAGCCTGCGTCGATGGGGGTTTTTGTTCAAGATCTGGGGGGAGAATTGCTAACGAAAAGATTCGTATCACATGACAGTTAAGCCGGGTGAAATGCCTCTCGTTTCGAAGAGCTCATGGCCCCTCTGGGCTCTAGAAATGTTGCTTCACAATACCTTGAGGCAGTGTTCAGGTAGCTCGGCGGATACGAGGTCCAATTACCAAGAAGTTGGAATAGCAAACGCTTGGATGAATACACAAGTAAAGTAGCAGGGAAGTGCGTTGATTACAGACCGTGGGAAGAAATCAGGCCAGTTGTTGACGAAGAACAGGTTTCTGGTGTCGATTCCTTGCTCGGGTATCCCCACGGATGCCAGGTTCCCGAGGCTGCTTCGATCGACGAATCAAGTTATCTGGATTCAAACAGCCCTTGATCTTTTCTGAAGAAGAGACAGGGCTTCCCGAATCTTGTAACACTGTGTTCAGGGTGCTTCCTTCCATGATGTGCAGTGATCTGCCGCAACCCCTAATTGGGCAGTCAACCGTGGCTCGGATTGTTGGTGCCTAAGAACATCGAACATGAACGTACATGAACATCAACCAATATTGGTTTCCAGCGAAAGAACAAATGTGTCGCAACAATACATTTGAGTTCATGGCTTCGGGTGATTCATGCTGCATACCACCAGTGTTTCCGGCAGAGACAGTCTTTTGACCCATTCAGTCAAGGCAGTATCATTGAGATATTCCAAACAGGCAATATCTACCGTTGCCATAGCTGGGCTCTTGCAGGGCATACGAGTGAATGCCATCGAAAACAGGGCGAAGACACAACATAAAGTCGGGCATAATGTTACGTTAACAACCTGGTATTTGCTGAGTCTTTCTTGTTCTCGAGACGGCCCTTCAACAGATCGCAACCTACTTTCCAACATGGCTATGGCTATGACGTATACAGCGCTCCCATCCAAAGTGCCCACATTCTCAGCCACAGGACCTGCTCCACCACAGTCAGTGGGCACGATTGACACCCTTAGTATCCGTAACTGGACTGCCTTTCGGGGTTGTAAGATATTACTGCGTATAATGACTTGATCCAATGGTGAAATGTAATTCCCATCTCCGATAACAAAAGTCACACGAACAAGTTTCCGTAACTGGGTCGTATGTCTCACACCGCACTGGTCTTCTCTTCCAACTCCGGCCAAAGTGGCTTGCGTTGGTGGCTCAGCCCGGTTATTTCCTTTGTGGGAACACTTGCCAGCATTAATTCCGGCGCCGCGACTAGGGACAGTTAGAAACTTGTCATGGGCGTCACCACATGCAAGTTCGAGATGCTCTTTCACAGAGGAAATTTTGCTCCGGCCTAGACGCGTCTAATGTCTGACGCTTTGTGAAAGTCCTGTCGTACAAGGGCGCCAAAATTGGACTACGCAGTTCTTCTTGACTCTGGATGTGAATGGTGAGGCGGGACGGGGCTGGCTCCGTTGGCCCGTGAGCGAGCCGTCGTCCAGGGGTTCAATAAACCTGCAGCTGATGGTGAGGAGATCCGATCTAGCCGGGACCCTGCCGAACAAGCGTCGGAGCTGTTCTTCCTACTGCGCGGCGGCCTCCAGGAGGAAATGGTCCGCTGTCCAACTAATTGTCCTGACCACAAACAGCAGAAGGAGAAACATCACCACTCACGGCTGATGTTGGCTCCATGGCTTTTTCAGCTTTTTTTTTAGCTGCTTGAATGCCATGTTGTGTTGATTGTTATCTACCAATATCCAGCTCCCGAGGTATGGGTACGCCCGACAGACTGAACACAATGTATGGTTGTGTTGAATAGAAGAGTGGTGACGTGAGCATGACGATGACATCGTGGCCGTCACATGGCCCCTTGCTCATTAACAACAGTGAAATCTCAATAACCCCCGCTTGTTCTTTGAGAGCTGCCAGGCATTGACTGTCGTGGTTGTCGTGGCTCCGCAAGAAAGTGAGCAAAGTCGCGCTCTCCGGGCTGCTCTTCTGAAGCGACTGGTCTTTAGCATGACAATTAGCATTGGCCAGTGTGGCTTCGCCATCCTTCATGTGCCCGGGGAAAGAGGGGTCCAAGGCACCAGAATCGAAAATAAGGGTCACTGATTGGATACATGGGACGAATACAGCCACAATTAAGGTATTACGGCGATCATTCCAACGGTTTAAGGACTTAAGGGCCCGAGGGAAGATAGCAATGGACCCTGACAGTAATTGCCGGACACTTGACAGGCCAGATTTCCAGGGCGAAGACGCGAGAAAGAGAGACAAGAGGGCGGGAACGCAAACGAAGACCAGACCTGAAGGAGGGGGAACGACGCCAGACGGCCTGGTTTTCCCCCTTCACCTGAGGGTCCCCGCGTGACACTAGACAGGGAACATGCATGCGGTTATTGGGCGCTGCTCACCACCCCATCCTTTCCAGCGCCGGATCAGGTTTTTCTGAGGTCCCTGGAGACTGGAAAGTTGGACAAGGTTTCAATCTGGCAGTGGAGTGATCATTGAAAAGGGTGAGGCCGGGGCGGGCTGGGTCTCAAGTCATGTAGCACACACACGGGCAGTCCGCAGCCACGGGGTTTTGCGGGAAAAGGAGATCTGCATTTATAAATACCTTATCCAGGGACACTTTCTCATCGCGATCTGACTTGAGTCGCACGCAGCCCTTAAACGGTTTAAACTTGCAGAATAAACTTCCCAAGATGTCTTCGCAAATCCCCCGTCCCGCTTCGACTACCACGAACTCGTCGACCTCGACTTCGTCTACCTCGACTACCCGGCAGTTCTCGGGCAGCATGGACGCTTACACCCTCTCCATGTACGAGCATACGCAGCGCCTTATGGCCGCGGCACAGATCCCGTACACCAGCCCCCTCAGCATCACGTCTCCCGGCGAGCGAACGCCCTCCGGAACCAGCTCCGTGGTTGTGAGGAACGGTGTCCCGCAACTTCAGTCCGGCAGCCTTCCTGCTTTCGGTTCGAGCTGAGTGGTCACGCATTCAATAAAAAGCCGGAAGACGCTGGACACTGCGATTCCGCTTCTGTGAGCCGAGGTAAGCGACAGCCCTGAGATGGCCTCCGAAAACGCCGCAACTAAAGCCTCGTTGTTCATTGTCACTGACTCCCTGTTGCTAGACCTTGAAAATGCGCATTCCCTTATTCTTTGGTCGATCCTAGCCGAAGCCCAAGCAACTGACGAAGTCACGATCATACCGCGGTCCCTTCCCGAACGCTTTACGAAGATCATCTGCTCCTCGCCATACCCTTGATGCGACGTTTTCTCTTTACTTCATTTCCTATCACGAAGTTCATCCGATCGACTCTGATCTCGAACCTGCAAGACCGCCTACACTCCCTACAGCGATCATCCTGCACACATTGTCGCCAGAGACACCTGCTCTCGCCAACGTCGGGATGTTCAATTGTAGTGGAACCGATTTCTGCTCCTGGGTTCGCTGTACCTCGAAAGAGGTCTTCGTGCCTAAAGCTGTCATCCCACGCGGGATAGTTGTTGCGCAAGAAGCGGGAAGCTCCGGCCGATCCGTGATGGAAACTTCATGTTGTCTCTTACAGCGTGATAATGTCTAATGCGTGCCTAGGCATGGGCCGCTGCTTCACACGCTATTTTTTCTTTGGTTCGGAACATTGCGATGTTATGATGGAGTTTTGCTCTTTACGAAAGGAGGAAGCAGTCTGACGCAAACGTAACTAGACAGGGCTTTGCCTGATCGTCTATGATACCCCTATGAAATTCAATGAGCATACTCGTCTTCTTTCTGAAACCTTGAAGCAAATCTCCTCCACTAGTGATGTCGAACTATCGCGCCGCTGATGACAAGTCATCAAGATAGACTCTACCTATCACCAGCACTGCCCTTCTAACAGGTCCGCTTCATACTCCTAGATCTGTCTGGCACTGTCAGCATACTATCAGCACTGCACAATACCCCATTGGCCAAAAGCCTCACGAACCTGATAAACTTCGGCAAGGTCGATGGAATCTGAGTGACGATGTCTGGCCCTCTTCTCTATGATACCCATACATCGGCCTGTCATTGCCCTGCAATCTCAACGAAGTGCCTTGCTTCTTCATTGTGACTCGGCCCCTTTGAAGCAGGCCTGCCATTATGGCAGAAACTTCTAGGTCTGTCAGCGATACGGCCCTTGTTCCTCGAAGCTTCGGCCGACAAGCTCCAAACTTTTATCCATAGCTGCCTCGGCCCCTTGGGGTATTCCTCGTGCATAATCCTTTGATCTTATGTTTACTGGATGTAATCTCTACTGAAGCCAGCCTTCCGCTTTCAATCTTTTAGGTCACAACTGCTTGAATTCCATGGAAGTCTTCTGTCCTTGGTCCCCTTGTCGAATTATCTCCAATGTCCCAAGTCTTTTGATATACCTCTTGATATAGCCATTCAATCACTTGATCCTTTTTTTTTCTCAGATGTCAGCTTTCTGGGACGGTTCCTCCCTGACAAGGGCGATGGGCAAACGGATGAACCTCATCTCCGCATGTTGATTCATCTGATCATTGGTTTCGTCCTATGAAGAGACGATGCTTAGGCAGCCACAAGGGACGAGGGGCGTGGAGCCAACTGCCCGGCCGGATGAAAACCACACCCAGTGAATCAAGTGCTGTCCCGGGTGAAAAGAATGATCCAAACAACTGGAGGCCTTTGATCTCTCCTACAAGTGCAACTTTCTTGGTTGTCAAAAGCTCGCCTTTCCTTCCACCTTCTACCACCCATCTCAAGGACCTTCTCTGCTCATCCAACAGTCTGTCGGCAACCTGAAGTACAACATATCAGAGCAGCGTCATCGGAACTCTCAAGATGAGCTACCGTCCAGTGAGTGAGATACACTTCAAGTGATGACTTGAGGCTAAATTTCATCGATACAGATCCCAGACCTGTTCACCGTCGTTGACGGTCGACTTCATCATATAACGCTGCACTGGCAGTTTGATCTAGCCAGGAGGTCAGGCGATCAAATCTGTTACTGGGATGAAATCCGCCGGCAGCTTTTCGTCTACGGTCTACCCGGAGAGTTCCCCTACGAACCTGCGGTCGCCCGCGGTCCGGTGAGAATCTTCATCGACGTCACCAACCGCCCAGCCGTCCTCCCGCCCGGCTTCTGGGCCACTGAGAGGGTCCTCATTGGCCCTTCTTGGGGTCTGCCGGGCTGGCACCCCTGGTTTCCGACAGACCCTCTGTTCCTGAGCACCGAGAGATCTCTTGGAGGACGTCCTGGGACAGTGGGCGACCTGCGCTGGTGCGGTACCTGCGGCAAGTGGCTCTTGGCCCCTTACTTCTTCGACCACGATGGTGCCCGCGCGAATTCGCGCACCTGCAACCGGTGTGTTATGCGCCGAGACCTCCGTTCTCGGGCGTACAATACGAGGGACGCCTGGCTTGTGGCCAAGCAGCCGACGATGATGTGGCTTCGCCCCGGCGAAGCGGGCTACGACCACTAGCCCGAGCCCGGAGCCCCCGGCCGGGTACGAGGCCGGGGGGGCAGGGCGGCGGAAGGATCTGTAAGTCATCTCACTCGTGCCTCTTCACTTTGATCCCTTGCGTCATCCACTTGGTCGATCTGGTAAGCCAGATGATGCCCAACGTCGCAACTCGGGACGAAGGCAGACAATGCTGGACCACGGATCGAACTGTCGACCCAAGATCTGAACAGCCATCTCAAATGTTCCGATAACACTGCGCGGGTGGAGTCCCAGCCATCCCTGAATCTTTTGAGGGACGAGACGAGACGAAAGAGCTGCTGTCACTGGACGGCGTCAACTCCAGACTGAAGGGGCCAGGGGCTTCCCTGGCTGTCCGGGTTCGTTCGTCTGGGCTTGCCGACTGCCGCAGATGCTTTGAAACTGGCTTCTTCCCTCATATCAGGTTTCATCAGAGTTCAAGAGGCTGACTTTCGATTAAGCAGATATCCTTCCACGCGGTGACGGCGGTACGAGTCGAGAGAAAACCGATGGGAAAGCCAAAAAAACATCAAAAGAAATAAATCTACAAAAAAAAGGGAGGGAAGAAAAGAGAGGTAGGCCAATTTTCATCCTTCTATCCTACCTCATCACTACTAGACGGCAGCTCGCCCATCCTCTCACCTTCACGATTCACACATCTAATATGAGCCTTATCAACGTTGGGCATCAGCAGGAAACACGACGTCCCTCTTTCAGCTCATTTTTCCCTGGTCCTTTGGCTTGATTATGAATTTCTGCCCCTCAATCGACAGTGGAGATTTTGGGAGAAACAAAGTCGAGACATGCAGGAACCGTTGCTGACCTGTTGGCGCTAGAATTAAGCGAGGCCCAAAACAGTGCGGAAGGGACTCATTACGTCAGCAGCCGAAGATGCTGCGATGGCTGCCATTGGCCGGGGAAGCAGGCGCCGGGAACGTCGTTCCTCGTGCCGGGAAATTGGGCAAATCGACCATCCTTGTCGATCCCAAGAATTCACCCCCCTGCTCGTTATTGTCTGTTCTCTTGCAGATTTCCGATTCATCACTCTCGCCTGACAAGGCCCCAGGTCCAGAGGGTCCATCCAATGTCCGTTGCGACGGGAGAGAGGACGTTGTGGTAGGTTTGCGGCTTGCCATTGTTTGCTTCCTCTTCTTTCTCTGTCTACTTGGTTGTGTGTGCGTGCAAACTACAAACGCGATTCGAAAAGCTGACTCAAACTCGACCATCTACAGCTGCTACTCGAACGCGAATCTGCCCGTTTGGCACACGAGAAACCGCGACGTTGCGTCATCCCAACTTGAAATTACCTTCGTTAGTTCCCGACCCGTTTAGGAGCAAACGGAGCAGCTTCCCACGCGCCAAAGTAACGCTAGACCATTGCCGACCGTCAGTGCGCAAACTTCGATATTTCCACAGGAATTATTCCCCCAAACTTCTTCTTATTCCACGCTCCAGAGCGTTCAGGAAGCACCTTTCCGACCTTCTCCATGCTCTCAGAGCTGTAGAACACATACCATATCTGCCAGAATGGACGAGAAGCAGGCACCCGGGAGGCCTAGTGGGATTCCTCGCATGTCCCGTCTGCCTCTTCCAAGAACAGCAGCTCCAGCTCCAGCTCCAGCTCCAGCTCCAGCTCCCGCTGTTCGATCATCCCCATCGCGAGAAGGCCTGAATTCGAGTATACGGAATCCTCGCCTCCGCCCAGCTGCTTCACGAGACCAATTGGCCTCAGCTGCTCCTCTCAAGCAAACGGAGCCTCGCAGCCTTCCTACAAGACCGAAACGCGAAATTCAGCCTCCAACCACGAGAAAGACAGAACTGAGAGCTCCCGCTGCTACGCTGAGGTCTTCCCGAAGCGTGCCTCGACTGCAACCAAAAGAATCGATAATCCAGAAACCCCCTACACCCCCAGAAGAACCCCAACGGTCATTCACTCCTCGCTCGACAAGCGTTACGCGAAGCCCGTCCGAGGACAATGTCGCTACCCCAAGCTCAAGTCGTCTGGGCGATCCGATTACCCTGACCAAAGACACGAGCAGCCCACAAGTCGCCGATGATGATGCCGAGCCTGATCTTCCAGACTTTGACACGCTGAGAACGACACCATTCAGACCTCGTCCATCCCTTTCCGAACGAACCATCGAGACCCTTCAGCAACTACAATCTTCCCCTTCTCTAAGCAAGAAGACGTCCACGTTCTTCGACCCAGATGGCACTATGCGGCCCCGCTCACGCGCCGGCAGTGGCCACTCAAGACCTGGCTCAAGCTACACCTCCGATGGCTCCGTGCGGCCCACGTCCCGGCACAGCAGACCAGGTTCGAGCTCTGGTGCTGAAGAGAACCCATTTGCTAATGCTCGACCGGCTGCGAACGCGTACCGACCTCTTGGCGCCATTGAGGGCACCCCAGCTCGCCGTGTATCTAGCATCCGTTCCCTACGAGCACCATCACTGAGAGCTACACCCCAGTCTTCACCTTCCGGACCGTCGACTACTTCGGCGATACCAGTCACCCAAAGTCCCAGCCCAACAAGACCAACTGGCATCATGGCACCACCACCCAAAGCTGGAGCAAAGACGCTTGCTGTTCGCCCTTTAAAGCCCCGCGCCTCGGTCCAAGGACTCTACAAGAAGCCTTCCCTGCCAACAATGACCCAGCCAGCTCCAGCGGCGTCTGTTGCTTCGCCGCAGCCCAAGAAATTGACGCCGTCCAAGTCTTATGGATCTCTGCGAAGGCCTGGACCGTCTAAGATTGGTGCTCCACCTACTGCTGCTTCAAAAGATGCTGAAGAATCTGGAGAAAATGCTGCGGCAAAGTCCTCCAACGCTCTGCGAGAACAGATAGCCAAGGCGCGGGCAGCTAAACGCGCTGCAGACAGACAAGCTGCGGAGGCAGCATCGGCTCCAAGCGCAGCGCCGGTTGCGGACTCTTCTGCGCCAGTCCAGCCTGAGCCACCCATCATCCCACAGGACGACGGGTTCGACTTTGGCATCGCTGTCACGCAAGACCCTTTCAACACCAGGAGATCGGAGAACTCTCATAAGAAGGTTATTCAGCAGCGGCTCGGCACTGCCCGCAGCAGTGGCAGACTCAACATCGCGGCCATGGGCCTCAAGGAGATCCCGGTCGAGGTTCTCAAGATGTACGATTCAGAGTCCATGGGCACTTACGATGGCTCATGGGCTGAGACTGTCGATCTGACTCGCTTCGTAGCTGCGGATAACGAGCTGGAGACTATCGGTGACTCCATCTTCCCAGATGTCACAGCAGAGGAGATGGCACAGGATGAGGACTCGAACGGCAACATCTTTGGCGGCTTAGAGGCGATGGACTTGCACGGCAATTCGCTAATCTCTTTGCCAATGGGATTGAGACAGCTTCCTCTGCTCACATCGCTCAACTTGGTAAGCCTACACATGCGACCCTGAGTGTCAACTTTGACTAATAAAAGCAGTCGCAAAATCGACTCGCAAACAACTGCCTCGAAGTCATCACCCAGGTCAAGGCCCTCCGAGACTTGAAGCTCGCCAATAATCTTCTTTACGGACCCCTCGATCCCATCTTCTCGAACCTCGAGAACCTCGAGATCTTTGACCTTCACGGAAACAACGTATCATCGCTTCCACCTGGCATCGAAAGTCTATCGAGGCTGCGCGTTCTTAACTTGAGCGAGAACAGCTTCGAATCCCTGCCTTTTGCGAGTCTGTCCAAGCTCCCACTGACGGAACTGCTGGTGAAGAAGAACAAGCTCACGGGAACGCTGATTGAAGATGGGGCCGAGTCCCTCCCAACCCTTCAGATGCTCGACCTATCCTGTAACCAGTTGACACGCTTGGTACCTTCAGGATCAGTCATCAATCTGCCTGTCGTCCATCAACTCATCATCTCGATGAACCGCATACAAGAGCTACCCGATGTCAGCTCTTGGTGCAGCCTCATGACCCTGAACGCCGACGAGAACGCTATTTCCGAGTTTCCCAATGGTTTCACCGCTCTTGAGAAGCTTAGGCATGTTGACTTTTCTGCCAATGACATTCGCGTGGTACCACCCGAGATTAGCAGGATGGATAACTTGACCATGATTCGGCTCGCTGGCAACCCGTTGCGCGACAAGAAGTTTGTTTCTGCCACCACAGAAGAGTTGAAGGAAGTCCTCGCCGGCAGGCTTGAGCCGCCTCCGCCCTTCAAGGAGGAGGATACCGCTGTACCCGACGAGGCACACCTCGACGAACCCCATAGCATCCAACCAGACACTACTCCCGCACCTACAGTCGAAGCTATAGTTCGCGATAACCACTCGGACGAGGACGACTTCGCTACCCCTCCCACCTCTTCGCCGACATCACCGGCACGAGCGCGTTCGCAGACGCTAGCCAATGAGACATGGCCTGTCAAGCAAGGTGTTCTGGACCGATCAAATACCAAATCAGCTTCGTTGCATCCTGTGGTGTGTTCCAAGGTCGCGGCCGACAACAAGGTCATTGAGATCCAGTTGCATCACAACCTTTTCACCTGCTTCCCGAATTCACTGTCTTTCTTCGCCGATTCTCTTGCCGCCCTGTCTCTTGCGCATAACCAACTGGTCGGCGAATCTTATTTGACAGAGGAGCTTGACTTGCCGGCCCTGCGTGAGCTGAACCTCGTCAGCAACCACATCACCAGCCTTTCGCCGTTGACCACGCACTTGGTTGCCCCGCAGCTAGAAAAGATGGACGTTTCGTTGAATCGCATCACTGCCCTTCCGCCTGACTTGCGCTCAGTTTTCCCCAGGCTCGTCGTTCTTTTGGCGGCAAACAACCACTTGATCGAGCTCGACCCAGACACCATTAAGGGCATGGAGGTTGTCGATGCTGGTAATAATGACATTGCACACTTGAACCCGAGACTTGGCCTTCTAGGTGGCACTGGCGGGCTCAAGCGTCTAGAGGTCGCTGGCAATCGTTTCAGAGTTCCTAGGTGGAACGTTCTTGAACGGGGTACGGACGCTACCCTGCGGTGGCTGAGAGGGCGGGTGCCAGTAGCGGAGATGGCATCGTGGAAGGTCAGCGAGGGTGACACTGGCAACACTTCCGACACCAGCCTCGATGATGTAGATTAAGGGCACTGGCTGGAAAGGTGTAGCATCACTGGAAGGGGTTTATGGGGGAGGGCTTTACGGTTCCGGGTTGATGTTGGGGGCTGCTTTGGGGGCTTTTGGGAGCTGTCGTTTCGATTCACGCACATACTTTTTCTTACTCGTGGCATCACGATGTCATGTTGAGCTTTCCATGGAGTTGAGGGGAAATCTTTGCGATCACCATCGCCTGATATCCTGTACCAGTACTGTATAATACTATAGACATAATATGGGACGGTGGCATTCCGTCCCAGCAAGGTTTCTGTTTCCAACGGTCTCTTGATGTCTGTTTCGTATTGACTTTTCACAATGCGTTGGTAGCGTATGTTGCTATAGAGGTCCTCGAGATTGTGCTGAAGTCTTTCTCCGATCCTTTCTTCGTGGGATATTAAACATCGCATCCAAATCCTCGATATGATGGTCTTCTACTCTTCAGTTCAGCATCCCACATCCATCAGACGTAGCTTCGCTCTATTAGCAGCCAGCAGCAAGAATAATTTCTTTCGCCTGACTTCTCTAATCAGTACTTACAAAGTATAACCCGTCACAACCTCACACAATGGCAACTGCAATGGCTTCAATCCGGGCGGCTACGTCCCGTCCCATCAAGAACGTCAACTCCTTCTACACTGACTACCTCCACATTGTCAAAGCCTCCGGCGAACAATCTGGCCGCGAGATGAACTACGACGAGGAAAAGCAGCTGCCCTCGCCACCCCAGGGAACCACCACCGACGAGGACTCTGAACCCCTCACCTGCTTCGATGCCACAGCCATCGTCCTCGTCGTAATCTGGGCCGTCTTCTTGGTCACCTTCGGCGCCTACACCTTCTGTAACGTCATCCGCGAGCCTTCGGAGCAATACGTCTTGGATCCCGACGTCTTCAACACCGTCGCAGCGGCGGTATATCTCCTCCACGGTGCTCTCTATTTCTGTTATTCGACCTATGTCGGTCTCGTTTTTGCAGGACCGATAGAGGGGAAGGATAAGACGGAGAGCGCTGCCGAGGCGTATGCCGCTGCACAGACGTTCTCGGATGATGATTCCGGCGGCTGGTGGTGGGAGCCATGTCTTTCCGCTGAGGCCATCGACAAACTCATCCGCATTCAGATCGCCGTCTTCATCGTCGCTTTCTGGCCTGTCTTTGTGGTGTACAACTTTGCGGCCGTCGTCTGCCATGACTTCAAGCGCCTCACAACCACTGAAGGCGTTGACCGGGAAACTGGCCCCTGTGCCGTCTGCTCTGTTGGCAACCGCGCTCAGGAGAATCAATGTAAGAGGACCTCTGAGATTTCTGAGAAGAAGCCGTTGCTCGGACAGAGGCTGACTGCGTCAGAGATCGTGGCGATTGAGAATGAGGCGGCGGCGGCTGAGGTGTGGAGGATGTATAAGGCTAGGATGGTTGAGCAGAAGCCGTATGCTCCTGCTGTCCAGCAGTAGGGGTTGGACTCTTCATGTCTGGCTAAGGGGTTGCTCATGGCATCGTGGTTACATCATCTAGTGACCATGAGCAAGTTAACTATATTCATTATCGAGAGTTGCAAGTGTAGTGAATTGAAAGTCATTGAAATAGTTTTTTTGTTGTTGTGAGTGCTGTGATACATCTTCAGTCCATGCAAGCGCTTATGGCCCAATTTGAACTCGAACTGGATATCATAAGTTGCCCATCGTGGGATCCTTTCATGACTCACATCAATCGAATCGTGTCAGAACAACCTGCAGTATCAATGTATAGTCTCAAGCATTCTGACGAGCATGGTCAACCGTGAAGAGCCTTCATCTTCTTCAGATTTCCTTCGGGAGAGATTTGACATTGCTTCGTTCCAGTCCTCTTCACGTTACCCCCCAGCCCCCCTTCCCCACGCCATTGATCACCTACCGTCTGCATAGCGTTGCCAGGTGCACGAAGAAATCTCTTCCACACTGACACATCTATTGTGTACACCTTTGGGGCTTACTGTCAACTGACCTGACCGGACTTCACGAGGGGATAGAGACAGCATGCCCCTTACACAATCCAGCACCACCGCCGTCATTGCCTCAAAAGACGCTAAATTCCTGTTCCTGAAAGTTTACTCGGGAGTAGTGAACTTTCCAGGTGAATCATAGCAAGGTTGCGGCTTCCGGCATTTGCCATACAAAGCGGATGTTGACCACAGAGGTATAATCTAACTTCACGACACCAACGGATAGACTACCTATCTCCGATTAAACCGTGGCCCCTGACCCTAGGTCGTTGGAACGCAATCGTAGATAGACATATTCTACCCTATATGAACCCTTCTCGTTTGTCCCAGCCTGGCCAGCATTGTGCTTGAACACCTCGTTCTCAACATCACTCCTCGCCACTAAACTCTCTCTTGCGATTGTCTCACTAGGAATACAAAACAAACCACACCCAGTCACTGAGACCTGAAGTTACCACAATTACTTTCATCAAACAACACAAGTATTCCTTCCTCAGCCTAACAAAGATGGCTCCTACTACTTCTGCTCCTGTTGCCGGCCTCAGCGCCGGCATCCGGGACGACGATTGCAACTTCCGGAACACCATAATCATAGCGGCGGCATGTGTGGTCTACACTATTTCGGCCCTTGTCTTCTACGCCTTCCTCAATAGGTGCCGTTTCTTCCCTAGATGGTACGAGAGCTCCGATAAAAGACTGCAACACAAGGTCTTGCTGCTCTTGTGGCTTCCTGCTACCTTGATCCTCTGGCCCCTATCTCTCCTCTTGATCATATCCTCTAAATGCGGCTTCGACGTCGGCGACAGGTTGGCCAATCTCTATCGACGCATGAAGACGAACAGCAGAGCCCTGAGTCGTCACATCAGCGGAGAGCCAAGAGAAGGAATGGAGCTCGACAGATGGGAAGAGATCGAACTCGAAGAGGAGAACCATAACGTTCTCCGAAAGAATACCACCATGGGAGTATTCATCAACCCCTTCGATGAGAGAGGGCGTTCAAGTACCCGCAGCTCCAGTGTATCCAACAGTAGGGACCCGTCACCTAAAGATCGTCGGACGTCCCCCTCAGCCACGGGAATATCACCAGTCAAGTGGTATGAGAGGCTTGCTTCACCCGCCAACATGGGAGGGACTCTCAATCAGGCGGGCTCCAGCAGCAATGTTAGTCAGTCGTCGACGGATCGCACGAGGAGCGAAAGTCCCTATTCAGACGACGGCGATTCTCGACAACCGACGACCACTCCGGCTGAGAGTGTGGACGTAATGTCTTCGGGTTCGAGCAGGAAACCTAAGACGACACGGAAGTTGCAGATTATTCCTGAGCAGACCGAAAAGGTTGGAGGATGGGAAATAATGGTTCTCTGAGCGAAAAGATTGATGCACGGCAGGTACGACGATTGACTTGGGTTCCTGGCCTCGGAGATCTTCGAAGATCAATTCCGGGGTGGGAAAAGCCATCATAACATAGTGGGAGTTACTATCATACAATGTCGAGCCCGGGATTTGGGATCTTACGACATGATATTCTTACACCCAAATTAGGCGTATCAATGAGCGGAAAAGCATTCATTGCTCTAGTCATTGAGTAGGAGAGTCACCTCATATGGGTCGTAATCGCCTCAATATACTCAATTCTGGTATTCTGGTGTCTCTTGGCTCTTCCATGTTATTTAAAAACCTTATCCAATGTGTTTTCTGGCGCTCAAGCGATAGAAGGCAACTTTGTCACTGCTCCAATTCTCATCCAAGTTGCCTCTGTAATACAGCAGTCCATGACTTGAAGCCGTTCATAGTAATAGTACTTGCAGGGATCAGGCTTGAGGAGGCACATTAGCATCGTGATATACCAGCCATTAGAAGCCTCTGCGCTTGGATGACCGTTGAGGGCCATAAACTCCATGTACACGGCCTTGGGACGGCTATCTCTCCAGGCACAGTCTAGCCAAATGAAACCAACAGGGTTCTTTACGTCGCAGGCTCCGTGTTTCTCGTGGTCTTCGACATCGTAGGTCCTCAAAGTTTGGCCACCGTGTCGTGGAGGGGTATCACCCGTGTACATTCCGTAAGGAGGAAGTGAAGAGAGCGGCAAGTTGTTGCAGATGGCTGGGTATACAGCATAAAGCCCATTCGAGTTCTCAATTTTCCTAGGTGTTGATGAGATGCGAAGATCTGTGATGCTTGCCACCAAATCGAGAGAGGGCCTATTGAAGAACCCTGATACTACGCTGGAAGGAAATCCGAAGATGCCATCATCTGCGTGCGGGACAAATGAAAGAGCAGCTGGCTTGCGATAGCGATGGCTAGGATATTGTAATTCAATACCGCGACCTATCACCACGATTTCACCTCGCTCATCTCCAATCATTTGGCGCGTGTGGGCGGTTCTCAGTATAGTCCTGTCAAATGTGACACTGTTGTCCCATCCGAGCCATGACCAGCTGGGAAAATTTGAGTTCCGTACTTGCGGGTGATGATCTGCTGTCTGCCAACAAATGGCCTGGTCGAAGGCGCATGTTGGCAAGCCATAATGAAACGTGGAGTCTTCCCCGTCAAGGCTTGCGTTGAACTTCTGGAGGACGCCTTGGAAGGCTGAAATTCTATCTTCGCCTTTTGTGAAAGCGAGTTTCGAGTAGTGCTCTGCAGCACACAAGAAGGTTTCCAACTCTTCTCCTGGAAGGATACCCAACAGGCCTCCTACCTTCTGCGACTTGTGGAGAGCCGTGTTTGCCGTGGAGTCGGCAAGACGAGTACCGTCCAGCTTGATCGTTGTTTCTTGACACTGCAGAAACACCCCAGCTGACGTAAAGAGAACAGCCCGGTGTGAGAGTACTTTCTCTTGGTAACACCAGCCCCGGCTTCCCCAAAGCGAACGTAACAAGACATCATCCAGCTCATCGGCGGAGTCACACGTAGTAGAAATTTTTGCGATGGTGGCCGCTTTCAGTCCCTCTCCAGCGTTCTCCGCTGAGACTGCTGCAATGGTAAGCTTGGCGGCTGAGTAGATCTCGCGCATTCGCAATATCTGGATTTTGACATCGCGGGGAGAATCCTGTACTATGCAGAGCGCGTCGACCCAAAGATATCTTTCCCCAACAATTTCGCAAACGATTATAGCGTCTCTTATTGTCGTTGGTATCTTCCACCAGATAGATTCTAGCCCATAGTCGCGCGAGTATTCATCAAAGTTTGCTTGTTCCAGTCTGGGCTGTTCGACACCACCCCAGACGTATGTTAGTATGGCAAAGGAGCACCCTTCAGGGGCGACAACAATGCTTCTCTTGTGAATGTCAATGAGTCTAAAGCAGATGCCAGGGAGATTATGCCATCGTAATGGGTTTGCGATGCAACGATTGTGATCAGGACGCTCCTCGCAGTCTCGTAGCCAGCCGATGATGGGACTCAACTGGGCTGCTGTAATCGTGTACCCAGCTCTCGAAGCGAAGAAAGATTTACTATCCTCCCTAGTTTTTGAAGGGTCTTGCTGCGTACTCTGTTGCTCCTTCTCATTGATACGCGTGGCGCCCGATTTCGTTGTTGATCTTTGTGCGAGCAACCCAATGCTCTCTCGTGGTTGTTGATTCTCCCAGAAGTCATCTTCGTCGTAATTCTGCCAAGGGCACTGCAAACAGTCTTCAGGCCATAGAGTCTCATGAAGATTGCGGATAGCTTTCCATAGAAGCCCATCCCATTTCCCATCAGAACTAAGGTGGAGCGATCTTAGCCGCGTCCGTTCGTCACATGCAGCGATTGAGAGGGAACCAACCGGACTTTGATGCCTTGTGGGCAAAGGATGGAAGCCCTCAAAAGTATGCAAGCGACAGGAAGGTCGTATGGCTTTTCTTCTGTTTTCATGAACTGTCTTTGGTTTTGGTCCTCACGGCAAAAACGGAAAGTGTCGTGGCCGTAAATTCCCACCCCGTTGAAAAGAATGCCTTCGTCTACGCTCGTGATCGGCGAGGTGATGATATCAGTAGACTTTGCCGGCCCGGTCAGGAACACGTCCGATGCTTCTATGATGAGCAGGGCATCTTGAATCAGCTGAGGCCAGATGGCTTGCCAGACTGGGCTGTCCCAATCTTTGACCTGGTAATAGTGCGTATAGCTGTTCGATATCTGGATTAGTACTGATTCTCTCGCAGGACATACGGCTTGACAGACGCTTACCCCATGATAGGTCCTTCGGTCTTGAAGCTAGCCTAGATCACGGACGAAGGACAGTCTAGGCTTCGAGAGCGACCGGGAATATGGGTGTTTAAGTATGTGCTCCGCATCTTCTATTAGCTGGATATCAACAAGAACGAAGATCAGGCAGCCGAGCGGCACATAATGCAGCCAACATGCGCACATTCGAAGAAAGTGTAAAAAGCCCCCACCCAACCCCCATTGTCATTTGCACGATCGTATTGCATTTGCTTGCAGGACTCCTACGCAAGAACAATAAGTGTGCGATTCTCAGAGGGAAAACAAGCGACTTATATAGAAAGTTGAAAGTGCAATCCCTAGAGGTAGGATCAGATGCTCTAGTACAAAGCAGCAAAAGGTCGAGCGAGCAGCTGGTCAAAACATTGCGTCGAGGGGGAATCGAACCCCCGGCTCCCCGACGCTGCTGGATGGCAACGGAGAATTTTACCACTAAACCATCGACGCTGGTTGCAAACTGACAGCAGTCTAGCGACTCTTGAAGCTCAGCGCACCAGCCCGCGAGCCGGGCTCGAAGCTCTCGCGCAAAGAAGCAGGGCAGGGCAGGGCTCGAGGCTCGCGCGCAGAAGAGGAGCAGACGCCTTCAACTGACGGCCGAGGGGGCTGGAGTCGAGAGATGTGCATGCAGGGTTGCGAAGCGGTGGTCGATATCAAGACCAGGGACGACCGCAACATCACTGCCTCCAGGAATCATGCGAAGCCCGGGAGCAGGTCAAAGCCAGAGAAGTTGTAGATGCAATGTTCATGGTTGATTGGGGTTGGTATCTGCCTGTCCAAAACTCCGCGCACTCACAAAATCAGTTCAAATAGTTTGGGAAGTCCAAGCCGTCCACCTGGAACTCATTCATCAGCGTGGTCCAGTCGGGGAAATCCTGCATCATGCCGGCCCATTCCATTCCGTCGGCGGCCGCCATGCTATCCAGTCCACTATCCACCATGCCCTCCGCTTCCGATCTATCGTCAGTACCACCAGGCGTCGGGTAGGATTCTTTCTCGGCGCTCCCATTGGCAGTCGCTCCGCCGACAACAACGGCGCCACCGCCGTTCTGCTGGTCAAGACCCTGTCGTATCGCCGTTGCCTTGGCTCTTAATGTTTCTAGAACCGTCATCTTCGCCGCGGGCCCGAAACCGGCGTTCACGCTCTTCAAAAGCATAAAGCTATCGTCCACAGCCTTCCACGCCCTATCGACACTCGGCCCCTCCGGTCTCACGCACAAGTGCCACAGGACGTAGAGAAGCATATGGTACTGGGGATACGCCCGCATAGACCACCGATACTGCCGCAGCAGCTCGTCCGACGCCAGGCTCATGCCATCCTCGAGGATACCGAGCGCCTGGAGAAGATTCTCCTCCGTCGCAAACGAGTCGCGCGCCTCTGGGTGCTGGAGGTTGAGCCACTGCTGGCGCGTGACCATGTCAACCTTGCGAATGATGAACCGTGCAACGAGAAGGGTCTGGCGTTGTTGAGGGATGACGGGATTGCAGTGTCGAAGGAACCCTTCCGCGTACTCGTGAAGTTCTTGGACGACCTGGGCGCGGACGGATTCCGGTGTTGGGTTTTCGGCCCACGACGAGGCCATGGCCGCTAGACGGTGCCATGTGCGAGTCACTTGGATGTTGATTAGTGCCAGCGTCAACGTCGTCCAGCCGGTGCGAGAGTGCGGGAGCTCCTTCATCTCGGGATACAGGTCTCCGTCGTCCAGGTTTGACGGGAAGCTGACGCCTATTTGTAGGTTGAAGCTTGAAACGTTTGAAAAGCCATAGTCCTCTGCTGCTCGACCATCCCGCGCGACGAGATGCCACCAAATGCGTCTACGAATCTCGGACTCAAAGGGTGAGAGGCCGAGCTTAGTCCCGTCTCGGTGTAGACCGATCGATTGGGCTGCTCGGATGGCCAGTCCGTTCAACGTCCACAAGCCTCGACCGGGGTTGTGTATCCTGAGAGCCGCCTGCGCCTAGTATAAGCACAAGAAAGGATGTTGTATAGTGTGGGTATACATACCAAGTATACAGACAAGGCTTCGAGCAGTTTCACCGAAGGATGTTCAAGAAAGTCGGCCTTGGCAAAAGCTTGCTCGAGGCCTGTCTTGAATCGATGAAGGCTCGTCACCTTGTCTTCGCCCGTGAAAATCTGGACCGAATTGGGCTCCAGAACAACAGTTGAG